CTATTGAAGGCGCCGTTCCCATGTTCTCTTCACAGAAGAATCACTTGTCAACTTCTTTTCCGCATTTCATCACCACCACATACGCTCTTTATCAGACCGGGCCTTTGAGAGCTGCTCTTTTGACGTCATGTTTTCTTGTTTTTCTGTTTTTTTTTTTAGTTCGTGCGGAATCCGTATAGCCATCTCACACCACGGTACCCCCCCCTCTCCACCCATCGCGCAGGTCTTTCTCAAGGGAGATCAGGAGTATGGGAACAATTCGTTCCCTGAGCGGGAGTTCAGCGATTAGTTCTAGTGGATGCCTTCTCAAGAGCAATGGAGACAAGATGGCAGGGTATTTCGGGTTTTCTCTATCAGCTGTCTGGGGTTTGAGAAACATCCACGGGCGTCTTCCCAATTATGAATGTGAACTGCGAGAACGGGACAAAATCTCGAGCTGGACCACCCCGCCCAAAATTCCTTCAACAGGCGCGCCCTCCTTCCCTAACCTACTCACCATCCCATGCAACTTCCACACTTTTCACAGCTTCCTATCTCTTCGTTTCAGCTTTCCAAGGAATTTTTCAATCCCGAGAAACTAGCGTCAAGCGGGTTGGGGGAGGGGGTTCTTACTAATCAACCGTTGTTCCTAGCTATCCCAAATGGTAGGTTTTTAGTAACTCTGGGGCGACGACAACTTAGGGTTATTCAGCGAACATGAAGCTGGGAAAACCCATAAGAGTTTAGAGGTTGCGTTGGTCCAATTCTATGGGATTTGGAGAACAAAGTTTCCGTTTTTGTATTGTGCCCTTAATTTGAATAATTTGAAAACTGAGCAGACAAGAAAAGGATGTAGGAAAATAAAAAGGTAAACGAGAGCTGCTGTCCTGCCACGGTAATTAACTGTTTGTATTTTCTAGAAAAAGAAGTCTGCATAAACTGCTAAACAGCTAGTCTGAAGTAATTAGCGCACATCGGCTTGCTGCTGCTAATTCTGGATTGAGCAAGGAAACGTGACTTCTCAGGGAGAGCATTGAAAAAGCATGCCCTTCTCATACTGCACTCTTGCTCTATGGATGTGCACCGCTTAGACTAAACGACACCTCGCTTGCTTCAGACTTCTCTCAGCTCTTTGGGATAATGTCGTGAAGGGCCCTATTGTACTCGAATAGCTAAAAAAATCAAATACTTCCTCAGTAGCTGTGACAAAATGACCTCCCAAAGACAGACCCCGCGACTGCCAGTCGTTTGTAACAGAGTTGCAAAATAAGCTTGATGGTGGCCATTGACTTGGCAGTTGAGGAAAAAGCGAAACAAATGGCCGAAAATGCAAAACAATGCCCAGAGACTGGACGAAGTCTCCGGACCTGCTCATTTTATGCCAAAAAACCTGATACTACGGACGGCTGTGTGCATCTCCTGGCTCACAATCTTTTTTCTCATCCTCCAGCACTGAACTGCATGCAACCCTTGAGAAAAAAAGAACAACAATAGAAATGAAGGCTGTAACATGAACCAGGTATGAACTTCTGGTGAACAGACGTAAGCCAACGAAGAATTGCTCCATTAAAAATGCATCATCGTTGAACTGAAGCAGCATCAAGTCGCATCCTACCTAACAAAATGCCTTAAATTTCGCATAGGAGGGCAACTTTCAGGATGACGCAGGCTACAGATTGGTCCCACACAGAATAATGGCGCCTCCAATACAGGACACTACCGCTACATACCTTGTACTCGAGAGCGGGGCTGCTGGAAGATACCGTACATAACTGAAACAAAAGATGGCCGCAGCGCCTTTGTCACTCATTGCGAACCTGCTAAATATGTGGGACCATGTTCGAGATGACGGGTTCGACTACTTGGACGAGGAAGGAATCTCGCAACTTGGTTGGCGTGGGGTCTATTTTCGAGCAATTCTTTGACTAGTTTGGGATGATGTGTTATGGAGTGCATGTATACTCCTTATCCCTGAGTCGGGTAGGCGTGGCATTTGGACGTGGCATAGATGGGTTACTCGTGGGATATTTCAACTCGAGACAACTGCCATCTTGTTCTATGGTGGACAGAGACATGACCACAATTGTTTCAAAATGAAAATATCTCACCAGAAGCACAGCCACCGCCACGTTTAGTTGAAGTACGCAGCCACGCCTACCGCATCCTAGGATTTCGAGTGTATATATGCACTATTTCTGAAGATGATGATAGACCATGATGGTTTTGCTGATTCTTCAGCGAGGGTACCGTAATTGAGTCACGGGAGAGGATCATACTATAGGTAGTCTTGAAGGGGATGCGGGTTGTGTGTGGAAGTAAGGAAGAACTACCGAGTTATTCCGTCACTTAGTAGGGGCATAATGAGTGGGCGTAGTTATTTGCAGAGAATAATCAGAGCGAGAACGATCATAACAAGTGATACGGTAGCCCTATTCTCCTGAGAAACGCCACTAGATTGTCAGGACTTTGTTTATACCTACGAGAAGTCACCTACTGAATCAACATTACTTTTTAGGTACAGTAGAGAGCAAGGACTGTGAGTGCGTAGCATAGCGGGATGCTTGGACCGACCAATAACCCAAAGCTTGGGCGTTGGGCGGGCTGGGTATGACCGACCGACGTTGCAGTTCAAAGAGTAATACCTATGCCAAAGCTTTATTACCAATTTCACTTAGCGTACCTATTCAGATTATTCGTGGGATTCTATTTATAGCATATCTAGACGTTTGGGGAGCAAACATTACAGTATTTGCTTGGTCAAAGAGCACCATGGGCGATTGGCGTTCATTTACAAACAACTGCCGATTAATCACTTATGAAGTGTGGCTTTATGAATAACAAAGTGGAACTGTGAAACCACAGAAGGGGAAGTTGGGAGCCTACCTGTAACCTTTCCGGGAAAGTGCCTTTTTTCTTTGGCCTTTTTCGGTCGTGTTTCACCCTGTAAGCCCTGTAAAATCTCGTCAAGTACCCTGTAAACTCATCTCAATCTTGCAAAATTGTACTGTATTGTACATTAGAACGCCATTTTCTATTTTTCGAACCATGACCTTTTGACAAGTTCGACAGGAATTCACAGAGTGCGTGACAGGTTATATCAGGAATTACAGGGTGTTTACAAGGTTGTCCCGTATTAAAATGTACACAATTTACAGGAGGGGACGGGCAAGAGAATCGTAATTTGCCGCTCCGCCGCGCGCGGCGACGGGCGCGACGTTTCTTAACTCGTGTTAACCTGTCGATTGGAGCACCGGACTTCATGTAGACCCCGTCATCGTAGACATTCATGACTATTTTCGGTTCTGAATTGCCTGTTGTCGCCATCTACTACCTGGAACCATCGTCATTTGCGGGCGCGACGTCGCACGCGACGCCCATCAGCGCGGTGAATTACGATCCTCTTGTCACATACCCTTTACAGGATTTGATATGCTGACAAACGACAGGTTTATCTCTCTCCAAGTTTATTAGCGCCGGTGTCGTATCAAGAGCGTTTCCGACGGTTTTCTTATCTTTTTTCCTCCAACAGTGAATATTTAGCATTTGACCTTCGTCGCTAAACCCCAGTCCCCGCGGACAATCGTGTGGTCTGTCTTTGTCGTGTTTTCGACGTTTCCCCTGGCTTTTCCTTCAAGCTCAATTCGATGACCATTGACAGATTCGTATCTTGACGAACTGCGGGCGGATGGGACACACTCAACAAAAGAAGTTACTGTCTTTTCTACGCTGCGTTTATTTTGCGGCAGCGTCCACCAGCGTCCACCAGCGACCATAAGCGTTTCGAGCGTTTCGAGCGTCAGCGACTGGGAAAGTACAGATATCGATCTAGCGAACGGCAGCGTCCACCAGCGTCCACCAGCGCCCGCCAGCAACCATCAGTGCCTCAAGCAACTATAAAAGTGTGGGTATTGATCTAGCGCCATCCAGTGTCCACCAGCGACCAACAGCGTCCACCAGCGTCCAGAAGTACGCGTAGTAGAGTAGGTAGTAGTAGCAGTTGCACAGGCCACACTTTCACGACGCCTCATCCAGCTGTCTCCTCCCTCGTACATACTCTACCAGCAGTCTGCTACCCTTTCTACCTCCCACACTCTCTGCTCCTGATCGCCGGTGGGCGCTGGTACACGATAGATCAATATCCATACTTTCCTAGTCCCTCGAGACGCCGGTGGACGCTGGTGGATGCTGGTGGACGCTGCCATTCGCTAGATCGTTATCTGTACTTTCCTATCCGCTGACGCTGATGGTCGCTGGTGGACGCTACCGCAAAGAATGAATGCAGCCGTATGAGCAGTTCGGCTTGGTGCACACCCGAGAATGGAATCCATTCGATGGTTGCTGTAACCTCCTGCGAAGCTGCGACATGGTGCGACTGAGCCACATTGAGCTTGTACAGCTCACCTTGTGGAGACCTGCAGGAAGTTGCAGGTCTCCACAAGGTGAGCTGTACAAGCTTAGCTGAGTACCGTTCGGTCCCCACTGAGCAGAACTGCGCTTCTCTCTACTCTACGGACTATTTCCGCCATAGTTTCAGTATATGCTACTTTGATGTCACTTTGTCCATCTACCATACTACTGTAGAACATTTCGAGTGACAAAACAGGGTTTATAGTTTATCGCTGCGATTTTTAAATGATTGGCTGACATAGACAACATTGAACACGTTGAACGACTTGCTTGGGATGACTAGAAGTACTGTTTCCTGAAATTCCAAACGCTACCAAGGGAGATGTTCACAGAGAGGAGCAATATGAGTTACCTAAACCGCCACTGATGTCACTTCTTCTTTGCCGCTGCAGGACTCGGCATTTTTGCTGCTGGCTTTGCCGCTGGAGGAGGTTTAGGAGACGGTTTCGGTGCAGCCGCAAATCCTGCAGGTCTTAGCGGAGGAGCTGGCGGTTTAAGTGGCAAAGTAGACGGCTTTTTTGCTGCTGGTACCGGGGCCACCGCTTTTGGTTTTACTGCAGGAGGTGGTGGAGGCGGCGGCGTCTCGAGCACTGCATCGGGTATCACGTCCTCGTATTGTCCTTCTGCAGCTGCTGCAACAGGGGCAGGAGGAGGTGGAGGTGGACGTGCAGGAGGAGGAGGTCTAGGTGGCGGTGCTGGTGCAGCAGGCATTAATTTAGCAGCAGGTGCTGGTGGTGGTCCAGGAGGTGGTACGACTGATTTAATCTTAGACTTTGCCGCTGGAACTGGGGCTTTAGGAGGAACAAGTTTTGATTTATGCGCAGGTGGTGGTGGCACTGGCGGCTTTTTAGGTGGGATTTTGACCGGTGGAGGGGAAGGCTTGACAGGCGAAGGTTTCTTCATGGGAGGGTGAGCTGGGGGTGGTGGTGGAGGTGGTGGTGGTGCTTCACCTGGTATAACATCTTCATACATCCCTTCTTGAGGTGGTGCTAAAGGCTGTTTGGGTGGAGGAGGAGGAGGGGGAGGAGGACGAGGTGGCGGAGGGCGTGGAGGCGGAAGTTTAGTTGGTGGTGGTTTACGTGGTGGTGGAGGTGGATGAGCCGGTGGACGTTTGGGCGGAGGTGGAGGTGCTTTCGGTGGAGGTGGAGGTGCTTTCGATGGAGGTGGAGGTGCCTTCGGTGGAGGAGGGGGAGGCGGCAATGCTTCACCTGGTATCACATCTTCGTATTGTCCTTCTGGAATAGCTGCAGGAGGTGGCTTAGGGAGAACAGGAGGTGGAGGAGGGCGCGCAGCAGGAGGAGGTTTGAATGGTGGTGGTGGACGTGGAGGCGGAGATGGATGGACTGGGACTGGAGGTGGAGGTGGTGGAGCAGCTTGGAGTAGCGCTTCGGGTACGACGTCTTCATATTGGCCTTCACCACCGATAGCTGTCATTGAAATCGGTAGTGGTTCAGCGAGGGGTGCTGGTGCTGGCTCTGGTGGTGGCGGAAAAGGTCCTCCTTTCACACTTTGTTGATCTGCCTGAAATATAGCCATGGTTATATGTATGGCACATGTGGGTTACAATCAGACCATGTGCCATGAGCCTTACCATTGTTTTGGCAAGACCTTTCAACGTTAAGAAGTTCGGATCCGTCACCGGCCCTCGCGCTGTTTTGGGATCCAACGGTCTCTGAAATGAGCATTCATGAAAAGTCATTCTAGAAATTTCATAGAAAGTCATTCTAGGACTTTTGTCTCTGGAAGGCAGCAAAGAGAGGGGGCAGACGAACCTTAACTGACTGTGGTTCTCCTGGTTGAGTAACAAGTGAATCAGCAACGGCGGCAGCATGGGTCGTTTTCTATAAGGGAAATCCTATGTTTTGTTGAGTTCTGCATGGAATATGCTACCAAACGTTCACCTGCTGCACAGCTGTGTTCACGTTGATAAGAGACGACGTTGAACTTTTGGCCGCCATCGTTTTGTCCACCATCAATGATGCAGCTCTTGCCGTTCTCGCGCTCTACATCAGAATTATTCTACATGTGAGCTTCGGTTCAGACGAGACATTTGGCGATTTTTTCTCTCTTTGCCGCAGAGAAAATGTCGTGTTGCTGTTCTCGAAGGAACTACTTCGTGATACATTACCTGGCGGTCCAACCGATCGCCCCTCTCCAGACCGCCCCGTACGTGTTCAGAGCGTAGTTGAGAGTACAACGATGAAGATGTTCCTATCAATCCCCCCCCCCCATCACACCTACAGGACACTTTTGTGAACCGGTAGGCAAACGTGCAGACTGACTAATCGACATAGCTCCACTTGCAGGGAAGACGGACAGGCAATTTGTCGCGTTGTCGTCGTGCGTTAGGCAGGCGTATGAGCGGCAGGTTCCAGGTCGCGTAACAGCTTATCGACTGGAGTAGCTAAGTTTATATCAGTCGAAGCAGAGCCAAGACTTCATGACGGGCGATAGAGGGAGTTCCAGTTCTTTCACCACTCGAACTCAAATACCCGGATAGGTTAACTCGTCCGTCGAGCGCAGCGTCGCCTGCCACGCCCACCAATGCGGCATATTGCGATCGTCTCGCATACAAATATCATGCCCCACAATCAGTTGGCAGCCCACATGGTTTCTCCTTTACGTAAACACTATCTGCCCTATCGTCTTGGACGTTCATCGGTCCGGACATGTCGCCGTTGGGTAGCCTCCATACTTCCGGACACTGGGGTATCTTAACACTGGAGTATCGGGGAATCGCAACTAAGAGAATCAGAGATTCCGCAAGAAGGAAATCATATCGACCTTCGGAATCGGAGGAATGAAGCGCACTGGAGAATGATAAGCTATCTCTCATCTCCTAATCCCCAAGTCTCCGATTCGGAAACCTTAGCTGTTCGGGGTCAGTGGACGCGTTTCTGATCATCGCCAATTCTCCTATTCTCCGACTCCTCTGACCGATGGTACACTGTCCTTTTCGCGATTTTTCCGATCTTTCAGTGACGAGAGCGGCTTCAGGTTGAAGAAGCAGTGTCCAAGGAGCTGTCGTGAGCGCAACAACCAGGCAGAATACAGACAGTCTGCGCATCAGATGACACAAGAGACGGCAACGCGTTTCTCACGCACCCTTGCCCCGACAACTCGTCGCTCGGTTTCCAGGCCGCCGTGGGGGTACGTGACAAGAGGAATCGTAATTCACCGCGCTGGTGGGCGTCGCGTGCGACGTCGCGCCCGCAAATGACGATGGTTCCAGGTAGTAGATGGCGACAACAGGCAATTCAGAACCGAAAAATAGTCATGAATGTCCGCGAGGGGTCTACATGAAGTCCGGTGCTCCAGTCGACAGGTTAACACGAGTTAAGAAAGCGTCGCCCCGTCGCCGCGCGCGGCGGAACGGCAAATTACGATGCTCTAGCCCGTCCCGCTCCCCTCGTGGGTACGCGTTTCGTAACAAAAAGGTTTCGATAACACACCGCCAACAACTTTAGGAAAGCAGCAAGGCTTCTATTATCACTCTATCGTGAGGTGTGATTGTGATAATATCCCTTTAGCCCTACACATGAACCCCTTGGTGAGTTAGGAGCCAGTCCTTCTAGCGGTACGGTTTGATCAGAAAGTGAGCACGTGAGCAGAATGCCTACCATTCAGTGGAGGTTGTTTACGTGCTGGGGGGGGGACGGTTTTGCAAGTACGGATCAAAATTGAATGATGGGATTCTTCCAAGATTTCCTCTGAAACTCTCTCGTTCGGCATACTTAATAGCAGATAAGCTCACCTTCTTTGATTTGGCTGTCATGATATCAGTGCTTTCTACCACTGTTTCTCTGCCCTGAAACAATGCGTTTCAGCAAAAGTATGACTGTACAACCTTTGTCTAACTGTTCTATGAAACTACTGAACCTGTAAGAGGAGCTCACCTTTCCGCAAAGTAGTATCGCTTTTAAACTAGTAAGAACACAAAATATACTGAAAATGTACAGATCCGCATCCTGAACAAGTTTAGATCACCTTCATTATTTACTTGAGTATCAGTGCCGACAACATGCAAACACGATGGCACTATTCGTGCTGATTGCATGGGCGGAGTCACTCTAATTGGCCCTACCCCCCTCTTTTCAGTCTTCCGAGCAGCACAGACGAGGGTTCA